AAACCTCCAGCAGAACCAGGCTCAGTGTGAGCGGCTATCTGCTGACATAGAAAAAGAAGTTTAGATACAAAAGGCAACTGTTTCACCTGTTTTCATTTTGTAAAAATATATTCTTTAAGGAACCTTCGGCTATCCGATAATTAATCGATTTATCGAAAAAATAATCAACAGATTAATCGCTATGCAGCCCTAGTTTGATCCCTGATTTAGAGTCTTTCTGTGTGGAGTTTGCACATTCTCACCATTCCTGTGGTTCTCTATGAACTTTTCCTCCCAAAGTCCAAAAATATGACTACTAAGTTAATTGGGAACTCCAGTTTTTTTTTTAAGTGTGTGTGTATTGTTTTGTGTCTCTGGTTTGCCCTGCAATGGACTGGGGACCCACCCAGAGTGTAAAATTCCTTTTACCAAAAGACTGCTGGAGATAGGGAGGGGCCTGCCCTCTGTTACCTTGATGCACATGGTGTTATAATGGATGGATGGTTTTTGGCAGTGATTGAGTTTGGAAAAAACTTGATTAAAATAACTTAAAATAGTTCCTTTTCTCATTTAATACCAAAAAACTTCATTTATTTTTTCCAAATTTTAGTGGAAAGATGGCAAAATTGAATTCTTGATTTCAATTGAATTCTTTTAGAGTCGCAGAAAAGATCAACAGATGGACCCATATAAGGTCTCAGCAACTCTTGGCTAAAATGTTTCTTTTGGAGACTGCCATGCAAACATAGGTGAGATGTTATACCTCCTGTTAGCTTTTCAAAGAGAATCTACCTGCATAATCATTTGAAATCAGAAGATGTGAGCTGAAATCCAGCAGATGCATACAAATCTAAGTCAAAGGCAACTTCATAGATGTTTCCCCTTGGGATCATGGAACCTCACAGCCTGCTGAAGTTATAGGTTCAACCCAGCGACTGAGCTGGAAATTCTGCCCTGTGTTGTTCAGCCTCCAGGCATTTCTCTCTGGAGCTGATAACCAGCCTCCCAGTGGTCCCTCAGACTCCCACTGCAGATCTGACCCTTTGTTTTGGCCTCTAATTGGAGCTGCTGAGAGGTCAACACAGGAGCGCCTGTTGATGGCAGCAGCTTGAGTTTAATTAAAGCTTCAAAGAAGGATTTTTTAAAGTAAAACCCACCTGTCTTATTAGCAACAATGCCAGAGTTAAATGCTGGTAAAGTCTCTGCTGATTGCCTCCCTGCAGCTTTGTCTTCTCTTCCAAATAAATCTACACTATAACTGGCTTAAAACCCTCTACGATTAGGAGGAAAAGTCAATCAAAAAACAAGTTTTTTAAAAAATTTCAATCAATCTTGTATCAACTGGCTTAGCTAACATATTTTTCAGATATTCTTATGAGGAAATAATAAGCTGTTTTGTCAAAAATGTGTATAATCTATCGTCAGCTGTTCAGCTGTTTAAAATAATGGCTCTCAGTTTGAGCAAAATGAAAATTATATAACTGAAATTTATCAACGTAGACATTTCTTAGTCAGATAGAACAATGAGTGGTAAATAATCATGGACATTATTTGCTATAAAATAAAAATAAAAATTCTGCAAACAGCAGTATCCATCCACATACATTTTCAAAAAGAATTTAAAATGTAAAGTTTTGGTAAGATGGTTTTCATACATTAACTATAATCACAAGGATACCATTCTATTGATTAAAAGCATGCGGTTATTTAATTAATAATATTTGTGAAAGTTTTAATAAGTTGTATTTTCTGTGATCCATTGAGTATCTTTATTATTCCTACAGGCTTGGTTAAAAATATAATCCTGAATTCGTTGTTGGTTAAATGTCCTTTGGCAAGTTGACCAAATGTTTTTTTGAGGCTTTCTATAATCTGGCACAGTCCTGCCTGGATATTAAAGTCCTGTTCCAATCATTGATCAAGGCTGGTTACCTTACACAGACCAAGCTTTTTAAAGTTGTCCATAGAATATTTTTTTTCAATAAGCTTAGGTTTGGAAAAGTCGTTAATAGTCTAGTTTATCCATTTGGCATTTGGTGTTAATTTGATCAACTGCTCTGCTCTGCCTCTCCTCTCATTTCTAGTCTAGACGTCTGTAATCCTTTTTTAGGTTACTCATCCTAGGGAATGTAGATTCACAGCATCAAAGCCCTCTGCTGGGGCCTGTGCGCCAAAAAACTCATTTAATTTATGACATTATATGCTTCCATCTTCTTGAACCCCCGTCGCCCTCGGTAGATGGCCGCTCACACTGAGCCTGGTTCTGCTGGAGGTTTCTTCCTGTTAAAGGGAGTTTTTCCTCTCCACTGTCGCTACAAGCATGCTTAATGTAAGGGATTGCTGAAGAGTCAATGAGTCGATGCAATCAGCTGGTTTTCCTTAGATAGAAAACTTTGAACCAATCTGAATGAATTGTCTCTGTAAAGTGACCCAAGATAAGATGACTTTGGTGCTACATAAATAAACTGAAATGAACTGTATTGTATATAAATTCTAAAAATTTCTCAGATTTTTTTGACAGTTTAATTTTTTTTTTCCTTTACTTACTTAAATGTATTTCTTTTCTTTAATTTCAATCATGCTCTCTGGGAAAAGATGGGGCAACAATGCGGTAAGGCAATTATGTTCAGCAACAAACAATGAAAATGTAACATCCTAAATGTTTGCTGATCCTGGCATTACACAGTAGGCTAGTTTATCGGATGCGAGTATAAAAATGAGAACAACAAAAAAAAGATAATATTATAAGCATTTTAGTGAAAGGATTTTTTTAAATCAAAACCATAATTAATGTGCACAAATAATGAATAGTTGTATTAACCATGTTTTATGGGGCCCCCGGGAACTTGGGGCCCTAGGCACCTGCTCAGTATTGTCTAATGGTAAATGCGCCCCTGATTGTCAGATAACTGTTATTCAAAAGAACAAACACTGGAAATATCTTAATAAATGTAATGTTATGCTGATGCAGGCATCTGGAACATTTATCTGCTCTTCACTCTGATCAACCCAAAAGTTTTTAGCCCTAACTAATGTCTGTAAATTTTTAAAGTATGTTTTAAAATAAATAAATGCACCTGTTCCAGTTAAATACCTTATAGGAAACGGAGCATTTCTGAGCCAGATCCTCGATGTCAGCAGAGACGAGGTCTTCCACTGAGAAAACAACAATCCAGGTTTTATTTAGCTAATCTTAATTATTTGTCATTAAAACAGCAGAGATTTAAACTAACCTGTTCTGACATCAGCTGCCCGCAGACTCCGCAGTAAATCCGCATCCAGACCAGGACACATCCCCGCCAGTAACACCACCATGGCTCATCTCTCACCGCTCACCATCATTTAGCAGCTAATGGTAGCTAAAGAGCTTGTTAGCTTCGCGGCTAACTTTAGCAAACTTTTCAGTCTAAGAGCGACGCGTTTAAAAGAATAAAAAGGTTCGCTCTGTAGATTTCTACTTAAAGATAATACACCTTAAAATACTTTTATCGGTAGAAACATTAGTTTGGCTGAAATTCAATAGCTCACTATAACTTTGGAGTTTAACTGCAGCATGGAAAGAAGCAAAGCCCATCAGTGCTTGCCGTAGCTCTCGCGCAATGCATCCAGGGAAATGTAGTAAACTCCCAAAGAGCAGGTTTTTCGGCTCTGACTCTTCTGTTTGTCTATTTTTGTTGGTGAGATTAATTGTAACTGTATGAAGTTTTTATTTGACATTTTAGGATTTTCATTTTTATGCATTAACAAATTATTAACACTACTTAAATTAATCTGTCCACTCATCCATCCATCCATGTATCCGTCCATTCATCCATCCATCCGTCCGTCCTTCTGTCCTTCCATCCGTCCTTCTGTCCATCCATCCATCCGTCTGTCTGTCTGTCCGTCCGTCCGTCCATCTATTCATCCGTCCGTCCTTCTGTCCATCCATCCATCGGTCCGTATTCGTCCTTACATCCATCCATCTGTTTGTCCGTCTGTCCATCTATCCATCCATTTATCCATCCGTCCGTTCATCCATTTACCCATCCGTCCGTCCTTATGTCCATCCATCCATCGGTCCATGTATTCGTCCTTCCATCCATCCATGCATCCATCTGTCTGCCGTCCATCCATTCATCCATGTATCCGTCCGTCCACACATCCAACTGTCCGTCCGTCCATCCATCGGTCCATCCATCGGTCCATCCGTCCATCCATCCATCCATCCGTTCATCCATCCATCCATCTCTCCCACAATCCAATTTAAACGTAATTTGTTATAAGATATCCCAATAAATTAATGTTGCCATAACTCTAGAAAATACATATTTCAATTAGTTTAATTCAATTAATAATTCAATTAATTAAGTTTATTTCTATAGAGCCAATTAACAACACACGTCATCTCAAGGCACTTTCCAGTTCAACCAGATCATCCAGTCAGATTGATTCAAAGTTTTCTATCTAAGGAAAACCAGTTAATTGCATCGTATCATTGACTGGAAGGCAGTTTCTCACCTAAGCATGCTTGTAGCGACAGTGGAGAGGAAAAACTTCCTTTGAACAGGAAGTAACCTCCAGCAGAACCAGGCTCAGCGAGCGTTGCCAGAAGTGCTCTATTAATTTTTAAAATAGTTATCCAGTGTGTAATGTTGTACTAAGGCCAATCATACCCACACTGTGGTTCTTCCACAGTCAGCACTCATAAAGATGTTCTCAAACAACTTGAGACTATGCACTGTGGCGGGCAGGGGGGGATTTACCATTAGGCAATATTAGGCCCATAAAACTCTATTTACATGTATGGTTAATACAACTATTCCTTATTTGTGCACATTAATTAGGTTTTTGTTTTGTACAGCTCTCATGAAACTTCCATTTCTTAAAGTGCAGCAGTGATCAGATGTAAACATTGTGAGAGAAAAAAACATGGTGGAAAAAAAACGCATTGAAATGGAAGGTCAGAGCTTAAAGGAAAAGTTCGGTCATATTCAGAATTCAAACTTCTGAAAGTCCTTTAAATGTGAAATGATTCCATCCTGTTCAATAAATGATCAGTGTTTTTAATTCAGAGTAATTTTTTAATGTGAATGTGCTTTACTGGAGGCATCCATGTTTGTCAAAGAAAACTACTGCCACCTACTGGTTAGTACG